ATTGCAACATGGTCATCCCCTCCTGGCGGGTACTTTATCTGTTTCCCTCTCTCCCTCTGTCTCTTTCTGGCGAGTACACGCATCCTATAGCAAAATAAGAATAATTTTTTTCATGGTCTAAATGCAATATTCTGGCCAGCTGTGGTGGTTCAGCTGTGATACGATGTTCCACCATACTGTGGCCACATGGGAAGGTCTCGGGTTTGCTTCCTGGGGTTCTCCGTGTGTAACCAGGCACCTGCACCTGCACCATGATTTTGGTTCATTGGGGGTGGGGATGGATTGCACCTGGTGACCCTCTTGGGGGGTGTTTCTTTCACATAGAAGAAATAAATAAATAGATTTTAAAAGTGCTAGTTTTTGCCACTGTTGTTTAATGTTTTTTAGGATGTTAGTGGCATGGGAATTATTAATTCCTGCTTAGAAAATCCAGTGAAGATTTATTGAAATAGGTAAATGAAATTTAACAAGCCAGTTTTTAAGAAATGAGTTTCATTAGTGATTAAATAATGAGAGGTGCTGTCGTGGGGATTTCTATCTTTGTTTAGGTTGAACTTAAGAGATTTTCATTTTAGTCCTTTCACCCAGGACCATGGGACTGAACAGTAAAATAAGACTGACTCTTGTTACTATTACTTCCAGAGGCTGGTGCTGCTTAGCTCTGTAGAGTAGGTATTAGAATTCATTTGGCTGTGTATGACAGAAAAACACTCTGTCAAGTCCTAATAGGGTAAAGAGTATAATGTTGTATGTGATATTTGCTGGTGCTAATAGTGCCAGTGCAGCAATAACTTTATTGATCTCCACTGGTGAAATGTTATTAGAACTGCAAGTAAATGGCTCCTTTAGTGCTGTATTCCTATTTGAGCAGTTCATTAAAAAGAACATTCAAAGAATTTTAAGTTGCCTTATTCTTTCATTGAGCTAGGTGAGTTTTTTTCCCCGCATCAATTCTTCATTTTTTTTTTTTACAATTATTTATTTAACTTTATTTGTTGTTGTTATTATTGTTTAAAAAATTGACCAGAGAGAGTAAGAAAGCAAACTGCCAGGTCCGGGACTTGAACTGTAGTCAGCCATGTGAGATTCCAGTGCTCCAACCACCACATCACCTGCTGGCCCCCAGGGTTGTTTGTGCAGTTCAGAGAGTTTGTGCAAGTTTGGAAGTAAAAAAGGTCTGACACCTAGCCCGATTGATCATTAACTTCATGCAATTCAATATGAACTGCAACAACTAGGGTATTATATTTGATAATATTCCTTTCATGATCCAGGCCCTGAAATCACTCTCTCTGTCTGGAGAGAGAGAGTTATAGTTCAATCAGTGAGAAAGAAGAGGGCATCCAGTCATAGCCAAATTATAGGAGTCTATTCAGAAGCCAGCCCTGCAGGAGGACTCATGTCTCACAAAGATCTGAAGTGAAATGAGAGGGGTGCTTATAAAGGCAAGAATCACAATCTTTCCTGGGTTGATGTGATGGTTACAATGGAAATGAGGAGGGGGTGGAGAGGAAAGGGAGAGGGGATTTTATATGGGAAAGCAGTTACAGAAGCCAGATCAAGCAGGTTAATAATTTCTAAGGGCACTTTCCAGACTTTTGCCTAAACACAATGGCTTTATGGCTCAGGGCAGGTGGTCTGGTATTTGGTGATTACCCTATGGACTGGCTATTTAGCAAAGACAGCAAGAATGTTAATCACTCTGTTTACTCTAGGCAAAAAGGAGGAAGCAAGTATCATAAGGAAGGAACATAAAGTTCAAAAATGTGAAACTTTCTGTTTTAGGAGAACCCCCCTCCCCCAGGAAGGCACACATAACATGAGCCTGACACATTTTTTTCTTTTTTTTTGGAGAGGTTTTTGCTTTAGGGCCTGTGCGCTCGCCAGACATAGAGAGACAGAGAGACAGAAAGTGATAAATCACCCCCCAGGGGGGATGGCCACACCGCAATCCTTTCTCCTTCATTCTCCTCTTGGGATCTTTGACACGCACGCACACGCGCCCGGTGTGAGTTTTAAGCCACCAGGTCCGGGACGCGAACTGCGGTTGACTACGTGGGAGTCCAGCGACATAGCCATTACACCAACTGCTGGTCCCAAGCCTGACACATTTCTGAAGCCACCAAGCCCTGTATTCTAACTGTATAGTTGGCCATGTGGGATCCAAGTGCTTTAACTGCTGCGCCACCTGGCTGGCCCGTTTTTTCTGTAAAGAGGTTTTTAAATACAGTGTTAAAAAAATCTTGTGGGGACCAGTATGTGGTGTGGTGGTTAATGATACTAGACTCCCATGTGACCAACCACGGTTCAAGTCCTGGACCTGGCAGCTTGCTTTCTCACATTCCCACTTTCTTTCTCCCTCTGTGATCAAATTAAGAAAAAAAAAAAAAAAGGATAAATAAATAAAGTTAAATAAAATAATTCTAAAAACCAAAAATTTTGTGCACAACTTTGTCTTCTGTCTTTCTGTCCCTTCCAGCTTTGCTTCCATAAGGCAGATGTTTTGAATTGTTTATTAGTAACTAGTTTAACTGAATATTCTTAACACCTTGAATACTGTCATATTTTGGTACCTAATACATGTTGATTGAATGAATGAAAGGGTATCCTTACTCTGACCTCAGACTGGACAGATAGATTGACTACTGTAATTCTAGGTTCAATATCATTTGAATATCATTGTTTCACCATCTTAGCTTCCAGTGTTGCAATTCATAAGTAGATTGCATTTTGACTGTAGTTTTTTGCTTATGACCTGTTTTTTCCATTCTGTAAGCTTTTATGATCTTATGTTATCACTTTCTAAAATTTAAGTATGCTGGGGAAATTCCGTAAGAGAATCTTGTTTGTTAGGGGGAAATTGTCCTGAATCATTTCTTCAGTAAGTCTCTGTTCTCGCTTCTCTCTCTAGTAAGAGTGAAAGAAATTTGCTTTTCTAGTGTTTCTTTCTGAAACTTTTTATTACTAAGTTGTTGGAATTCATGAATTGTTCTTTTTTTTTTTTTTTAAGAATTATTGTATTTACCTTTATTTATTTTTTTTTTTTTTTTTTTTTTAAATTTGACCCAAGAGGGGCAGAGTGAGAGAGAGAGAGACAGAAAGTGAGAAATACCCAGAGGGGATGGTCACACCACAATCCCTTCCCCTTAATTTTCCTCTTGGCATCTTGGGCACGCATGTACATGTGCTTGTTAGGTTTAAGCTGCCGGGTGTAGGACTCAAATCGTGGTCACTATATGTGGGTCCAGTGACTTAACCATGACACCATCTGCTGGTCCCTTATTTCATTTACTTGATTCTGACTCTGTATTCTAGTTTCTGGGATATTTCTTTAACATCATCTTCCAGGGTTTATTTTATTTTATTTTTTTCAGAGAGACTTTTTTCTATTGGGAGTGTGTACTGGCCAGAAAGAGAAAGAGAGACAGAAAGCAAGACATCACCTCCCCGACTCTGGAGGGATGGCCACGCTGCAATCCCGTTTCCATTGTCCTCTTGGGATTTTGGGCACACATGCACAGGCACCCGGTGTGAGGTTTAAGCTCTGGGTCTGGGACTTGAACTATGGTTGACTATGTGGGAGTCCAGCGACGTAACCATTACACCATCTACTGGACCTTATCTTCCAGGTTTTGTTTAGTTTAGTCTTTTAAATAATTATTTATCTTAATTATTTATTTATTTTTAAAAGTTTGACCAGAGAGAGAGACAGAGAGAGAGAAAGAGAGAGAGAGAGCGAGCAGGTCTAAGACTCAAACCAGTTGTCCAAGTGGGAGTCCAGTGCTTTAACTACTATACCACCTGCTGGCCCCTTCTAGATTTGTATTTTTATTTGTTTATTTATTTTTTTTTTTGAGAGGTTTTTGCTATAGGGCGTGTACGCTCGCCAGACAGAGAGAGACAGAGAGACAGAAAGCGAGAAATCACCCCCCAGGGGGATGCCACGCCACAATCCCTTCTCCTCTGTTCTCCTCTCAGGATCTTGGACACGCATGCACATGCTCCAGGCTTGAGTTTTAAGCCACCGGGTCTGGGACTCGAACCGCGGTCGACTGCTGGGAGTCCAGTGACATAGCCATTACGCTAACTGCTGGTCCCTAGGTTTTTATTTGTGTCAGTAAATTTTGAAATTGCTCTTTTCTTTTTAGAGATTTTTTTGCCATAGGGCATGTGTGCTCTTTGGAGAGAGAGACAGAGACAGTGAGAGGGAAGGTGAGAAATCACGTCCCCCCTCCCCCCAGGGGATGGCCACGCTGCAATCTTGTCCTCATTCTCTTTCCAGGATCTTGGACATGCACACAGAAGTACCCAGTGTGACTTTGAAACCACCAGGTCTGGGACTTGAACCGTGGTTGACCATGTGGGAGTCCAGCAATATAACCAATGTGCCATCTGCTGGTCCCAGCTAACTTGTTTTCAGTTGAACAAATTTGTTTTGTTCGTTTTTTCATTTTCATTGAAATGTTAATCCATTTTAACTGCCATTTTGGTGTGGTTTTATTGGGTCGAAAGGGTAGCAAGAAACACAATGCGTATGTTTCATCTCATTCCTTTTTTTTTTTTTTTTTTTTTTATTAAATTGAGAGTGGAACGAGAAGGAGGGAACCCCTTCCACCCCTGCAATGGGTTATGATCCTACTGTAATCCCTTCTTCATTCCTGTCTCATGACAGGATTCTGGGTTCATATGCATATGCACTTGGTGTGTTTTTGAAGCCATCTGGGCAGGATTCAAACTGGTGTTGGGCATGTGAAATCCAGCTCCCTTAATCACTGTGTTACAGGGTAGGCCCATCTAATATTTTTAAGATGAAGTTTTTTGTCTCTCTTTGAGACCTTTACAACTTTTATAGTTATAATTGAAGCAGCTAGTTAAATATGTACACTTAAAGTCAATTATTTTGAGGGAAATATTGAATGAATTGTTGGTCTGATCTATCTTTATCCAAATGTAGGTAATGTTCTTTGTAATAATGAATTCTTTGAATTTTATTTGTGTAGAAGAAATTGAAGAAGAATCTGAAACAACAGTTGAGGCCGACTTGACTGATAAACAGAAACATCAGTTGAAACATAGGGAACTCTTTTTGTCACGTCAGTATGAATCTCTGCCTGCAACACATATCAGGTAAGACCTGAAAAGTTAATCTAAAGTACTCGTAACTGAAAACATAAAAAGCAAACCCAGACAACTTCTTTGAAGCATTTTTCAAACTCTCGAGATTTTTCTCATATTAGTTTTCTAAAGCCATCATAATGGAATTATACCTTAAAATTTATAGTGTGTACTAGCACAATAAAGCCTTGTAAAAATTCTGCAGTGAAGTAACTATTTTATTGGGTCGTTGGAAAAGTCATGACGCATTTTGCATAGAAAAACAAAGAAAAATACATGACTTTTCCAATGCCCCAATGACTTTGTTCTAACTCAGACTTTCCCAATTTATTTGAGTATCTCAGCACCTGCAGAACTCCATCCTACAGACAACATTGTGGAGAATGCTGGTCGTCTTCAGTTTCCTAAAAAATTATGAGTTGTAGGGACCACCAGTTGGCATAATGACTATGTCACTGGACTCCCATGTAGTCAGTCGACTGCGGTTCGAGTCCCAGACCTACTGGCTTAAACTCACACCAGGCGCGTGTGTGGGCGTGCCCAAGATCCTGAGAGGAAAATGGAGGAGAAGGGATTGTGGTGTGGCCATCCCCCCGGAGGGTGATTTCTTGCTTTCTGTCTCTCTGTCTCTGTATTTCTGGTGAGTGTACGCACCATTACAAAAACCTACCCCCAAAAAATAAAAATCTAAGGGGGGGAACCCAACATTAGGCAGATGACCTTGTAGGAAATAGAACTTTTTTTTTAGAGAGCTTTTTGCTATAGGGTGTGTGAGCTTATTTGTAGGAAATAGAACTTTTTTTTTAGAGAGCCAGACAGCAAGAAATAACCCTCGAGGAGATGGCTACACCACAATCCCTTCTCTTCCATTCTTCTCTCGGGATTTTAGGCATGCACACATGCCAGGCTTGAATTTTTAAGACACCGAGTCCAGGACTCAAACAGTAGTAGATTACATGGGAGTCCAGTGACATAATCATTACACCATCTGCTGGTGCTAATATTTGACTTTTTATCCTTTTAGTGAGAATCCAGGGTGAAAACTTTGAATTCTTTATTATTTACTGGCATCTGCTTTGTGCATCGGTAGGATGCATATGTGAGGGAACCCAGCTCCTGGTTTGTTGTAGTTTTGAGATCATAAAGGAATGGTGATGGTCTCCTGTGAGTTACTTGTGTTGATAAAATGGAAACCTATATACACTTGCAGTAGTTTTTAGTATAATGCAGAACAGATACATCTTGGAGGTCTATCAAAATGTCTGAACTCTAAAGACAGATACATCCTGACCATCGGGGTTAGGGAAGCTTCAGAGGACTTGGCTTTATACTGAGCCTCAGTGTTTGGGGAGCATGTTAGGTTGAGGGAGCAGATGGTGAGCCCGAGGTGTGTGAGGCAGTACAGTGTATCCTTGCTCTTGGGTTAAAGAAACTCCTCCTAATTGTGTTCATAATTTCTGTTTTCTTTATCTACCTCTCTATTAGCCATTATGGTCATATAGATTGTTTATGTGTGTTAATAGTTGTAATAATTGCTCCCTGTTCTTTAGCCTGCACTGTCAGGATTGAATCTTAGCTTGCCTTTCTGAGTTCATAAAGGTTTGTAAGCTCCCTAAGGCTCTGATTCGGTATTCTTATATGCACGCACAACTGTAGGGACCTTTGCATAATTTCTTTTTTCAGAAATGGACACAACACTGATCTTCCAGCCAGAAAGTATATGACAAAGATACTGGAATTCCTTTTTCTCTAAATCTTTTTAGAAATAATTTTATCCCTTTTAATAGTTAGAATTATGTCTTTGCTTTGTTTTCCTCATATTTACTCTATGATTTGATTTGCTAGAGCGAGTATATTCTGTGTGACTTAATGTCCTTGGGCGGAAAAGATAATCAAGCCAGGTAATGTGGGAATGATCTTTTATATCCCACCAGGAAGGCTGTTTCAATAAAGAAAGGTAGGAAAGTAAGGTTAATAATTTTTGCTCAAAGAGATGAAACATGAAAACATATTTGGAGATTAAAAAAAAAATAAAGTGTGTATAATTCGGCCAGAAGGTGGCATGGAGATTAGGTTGCTGGATCCCATATGGCCAACCATGCAGTTCGAGTCCCAGACCTGGTAGGTTGAAAATCACACTGGGCTTGTATGCATGTGTACCCAAGACCTGAGAACAGAATGGAGGAGAAAGGATTGTGGTGGGACTATCCCCCCTAGGGGATGATTTCTCAATTCTTTATTATTTACTGGCATCTGCTTTGTGCATCGGTAGGATGCATATGTGAGGGAACCCAGCTCCTGGTTTGTTGTAGTTTTGAGATCATAAAGGAATGGTGATGGTCTCCTGTGAGTTACTTGTGTTGATAAAATGGAAACCTATATACACTTGCAGTAGTTTTTAGTATAATGCAGAACAGATACATCTTGGAGGTCTATCAAAATGTCTGAACTCTAAAGACAGATACATCCTGACCATCGGGGTTAGGGAAGCTTCAGAGGACTTGGCTTTATACTGAGCCTCAGTGTTTGGGGAGCATGTTAGGTTGAGGGAGCAGATGGTGAGCCCGAGGTGTGTGAGGCAGTACAGTGTATCCTTGCTCTTGGGTTAAAGAAACTCCTCCTAATTGTGTTCATAATTTCTGTTTTCTTTATCTACCTCTCTATTAGCCATTATGGTCATATAGATTGTTTATGTGTGTTAATAGTTGTAATAATTGCTCCCTGTTCTTTAGCCTGCACTGTCAGGATTGAATCTTAGCTTGCCTTTCTGAGTTCATAAAGGTTTGTAAGCTCCCTAAGGCTCTGATTCGGTATTCTTATATGCACGCACAACTGTAGGGACCTTTGCATAATTTCTTTTTTCAGAAATGGACACAACACTGATCTTCCAGCCAGAAAGTATATGACAAAGATACTGGAATTCCTTTTTCTCTAAATCTTTTTAGAAATAATTTTATCCCTTTTAATAGTTAGAATTATGTCTTTGCTTTGTTTTCCTCATATTTACTCTATGATTTGATTTGCTAGAGCGAGTATATTCTGTGTGACTTAATGTCCTTGGGCGGAAAAGATAATCAAGCCAGGTAATGTGGGAATGATCTTTTATATCCCACCAGGAAGGCTGTTTCAATAAAGAAAGGTAGGAAAGTAAGGTTAATAATTTTTGCTCAAAGAGATGAAACATGAAAACATATTTGGAGATTAAAAAAAAAATAAAGTGTGTATAATTCGGCCAGAAGGTGGCATGGAGATTAGGTTGCTGGATCCCATATGGCCAACCATGCAGTTCGAGTCCCAGACCTGGTAGGTTGAAAATCACACTGGGCTTGTATGCATGTGTACCCAAGACCTGAGAACAGAATGGAGGAGAAAGGATTGTGGTGGGACTATCCCCCCTAGGGGATGATTTCTCTCTTTCTCTCTGGAGAGTGCATGTGCCCTATATCCCAAACTAAAAATAAAAATAAGAAAGATATATATAAATAATAAACCCTAAAGAGCCATATGCATTTATTATTTAATTGGAAGAAGGTGGTTATAAAGATTTATTTTAAGCTCAACAAGTTATATGACCAGTCATAACAATCTTGCCAGAATAAGAATCCCACAAATGGTTTTAAAAATGTATCTAAAACATGCAAGTATATTTTTAATTTACCATCCTGATAGCTTGGAATCTGTTTACAAGTGATGTTGATTTCCTTTAACAGATTGCCTGGAATGGAAAAGCTAACGATGTTTTTTCATTTTCCATACGTATATTAAAAGCAAGTTTATTAAAATACAATTATCAAGATACTTCTGTGTTGAGCATAGAAATTGCGTAGTATGTGGGGGTGGTTCTTCAAAAAGTGCATGCAAAATGCATTTTATGAAAAACCAAAGGAAATTCTTTTGAAGTTTACTTATGTATTTCATAAGTGAGAGAGACAGAAAGAAATAGAGATAAAGGCCCCTCAGTTGGCCGTTGACATGACAATTCTACTGCCAGCATCAGCCAGCCTGGATCACAGACACCAGTGTGTGTGCAGGAAGGTCTCTGGTCTTGAACCACCATTTTCCCCATGTGTATCTGACTTGCAAAGTTTCATGATTTCCCACTGCTGTATTATCTGGCCCCCAATGTTAATCATTTTTTGTCCCAAAATTAACTTTCATTTTCCATGAACTTTTTGAAGTCCCTGCAAGTGTGATCTGTCAAACACATTTTTTGAGTATATGCCAGGTTAGGGAGCTTAGTAAATAACTGATAAGTAAGACTAAGTCCTCAGTTTATAAGCTCAGGGTGTTTCTTTCTTTTTTGGACAGGTTTTTGCTAGAGGGCGCATGCGCTCGCCAGAAAGACAGAGAGAGACAGAGAGATAGAAAGCGAGAAATCACTCCCCAGGGGGAACGGCCACGCCGCAATCCCTTCTCCTCTGTTCTCCTCTCGGGATCTTGGGCACGCACACATGCCTGGCGTGAGTTTAAGCCGTCAGGGCCAGGACTTGAACCGCGGTCGACTATGTGGGAGTCCAGCGACATAGCCATTACGCTAACTGCTGGTCCCAGCTCAGGGTGTTTATTGGGTGGTGATTTCTTTTAATTATAACGAAGAGACAAGCATGTAACCTTTTCTTTTTATTCCCCAAATTGTGAGTAGGGCAGAGCTATATTTCTTAGCTGTGGTTCTTTCCAAAGAGCTGAATGGGGTCGGGGCATCCTCTGGCCGTGGCATGGGCCTGTGTGCTGACCAACCCACCTGCTGATGTAGAGCAAGTGCACGTTGCAGTGGTTTGACATTTGCTAACGTTGAAGTCATGCCCCATCTATTTAAAGGAGAAAATTACTAAAGCCTTATTGTTATTTGGCAGCAAAGAGGAGTAATTTGGTGAATACTGACTTTTTACTCTCAACGACATTACCAAGTGCCCAGAATTTCCTTGGTGTTCTATGGAGCATAGGAGAAAACCTGACTGAGGCATTCTTGAGTCCTTTGTGGTCCATGAAGTATCAATATAATACACGCTGGA